ACAGACGACAGAACAGACGACAGAACAGACAACAGAACAGACGACAGAACAGACGACAGAACAGACTGCACACATGCACTACAACACGGTGCGTTCAGGGCACTCAAGAATCGTCAGAAAAAGTAGAACCTTATACCAGAACACAAACATTTATTCCCCAACCGTCACAATAACAAATGAACACAGAACATGATCAACGTTAAACAAGCCTCCAGTCACTAGGTGGCAGCATCGTAGCTCATTTTATGAATCTGTTTTAATACTGGGGGGGTTGTAGGCTGGAGCAGCAGCTCCTACAGTGGTTTGAACAGAGAAGTAGAGAAATATGACCAGGGGATCAGTAGTATTTTAATTCTGTCCGCTAGGGGGCAGAGAAACACCGTTTTAACTTCCACCACTGTCCCACTGTATCAGTATCAGTTGATATCAGTGTTTGGACAATATGGACGTATCAGATATCAGCAAAAGTAAACACGGGACACCCCTCGTCATAAGGTATCTGTGCTGTATATGGGACACACATATATATAATATAACTGCTGTATGTATGTGTAGAAACATATATATTTATATTCTTATATGTGTGTTACACACACACACACACACACACCCTGCTCATCCAGTGTCTGTCAGTTTCTACATCTGCTTTTCATGTTGCTGCTCAGAGAGCTGTGGCTCCAAACCAGCATCAGCATCAGCAGCAGCATCAGCATCAGCATCAGCTTCAGCATCAGCAGCAGCTTCAGCTTCAGCATCAGCCAAAGCCCCAGGCGCTGGCCCCCTCTGCAGGCAGGAGGTCACACCGCACCCTGCCCAAGGACCAGACCCAGCTCCTGTCGCTGCAGCACGACCACAGACACAGAGACAGACAGAGCGACAGACAGAGGGACAGACAGAGGGACAGACCTGCCACAGCTGTCCAGAAGTTAACGGGAAAAAGCGGGAACTCGACGACTGCTTCTGCTGTGGCTGCTTCGTTGTCCAGTCGTCCTGCCGACAGCCAGCGCTCTGTGGTAAAGCCTCTGCTGCCCCCCCCCCCCCCCCCCCCCCCCCGCACGCCCCCGGCACGCT